AGGCATAATTATTATTATGTTCATCAAATTAAAACGTTGTGTGGCTGAGCAAATGATGAAGTTTGCGTGTGGTCAAAATTTTGAAATTTAACCACAGATGTTATAAAAGCTTCAGTTTGCGTTTTCTGAACGTTATTTCTGTCTGTAGATTTTAGATTTTGTGTAGAATTACCTAAAAAGCACGAACAAAATTACCCCGCCTCACGTAGTAGAAATAATCGTGTAACTACTCCGTTCGTTTAAAGTTCGCAATATTTACTATCTCAACTGTTGTACTCCAGCCCGTAAACTCATATTAGAACCGCAGAACGAAATTAAAGTTGTTACTTGCCGAAGCCGTAACTTCAAATCGTTTTCTAGAAACAGTGCAGTTTTAGAAATTTCACGTACAGACGACAGCACATTAAAGTATACATTTTCATTGTAAAATAGCTCCAATTACAACTGCATAAGATTCTACAGTAGACGTAGTCACTGGGGAACTTAATATACCGAAACACTGTCGTGAGAGGAACGTGACTCGAGTGAGATGTGGGCGTCGAGATATTTTGTGACAAAAGGTGTTATATTTTTTGTAATAATAACTGAAGTACTTCATCTATCTCATGGTCATTTTCTACAAAGGCATTTGCGAAATCAGCGTAAATTTATTTATGAGACGTACAGCTCTTAGTTTAAAATTAAATAGCATTCTGCAAAAAATAACAGTTTTAATTATATTGCCTAATCTTTTCTTATAGGAGAAATATTTAATGCATTGTTGCTAGCAGTTTCGCCACCGATCCTTTTTATATTATTTGTGGTTTTTCACTTTTTTGTCTTTTGTGAAATATTTTTTTGACAGTCAATATAGGTACTTTGTTTAGCCCAAAGGCTGGCTTTTCCATCATAATTCCTCTGTTGCTTATGCATTCTTAGTTACCTACCGCAAGACCCTATCACTCATCAGATGTTAATACAGTCGATTATTGGTACCAGGTCATGCATAATACATTGCACCAGTCAATCTGTGCGATGCCAATTCGTAATCTATCAAATGCTTCAAGAATTATCGAATTAAATTATTCAAAACAACAATAATTTAGCGTAACGCATCTGTTTTGGACCCAAATTCAATTCAGATCCGCATCTCTTTTCCAATCATCAACATAGGAACATCACCATGGGGCAAACTTTTTTCGGCACAAAGTCACGTGGGCAAACTATCATGGCCGCCGTTACGTGGCAGAATGCAATCTTGTCGTTTGACAAATGCTGTAGTCCAACGGTCCCAAAATCGGTACACATTCCTCGCATACAATGGCTTGTCACGTAGGTGGTGCTGTACCAATATGTCGTCGATGTAAGCTTTAGAAACCAGATAAATGAATCACCGGGGATTCTGTTGGGCCTGGAAAGTTCTGGCGCGCTTTTGGGGCCGAACGGCGCGGTTTTATTTTGCTAAATATTTTTTTTATCTCATCTACGCTATACAATACTATTTTGCAAAAAAAAAAGTTAATGGCACTTATACCACAACCGAGAGCGGCAATTATTAAAAAAATGCGAACTTCAGTCAGCGTCGAAAAGTTCGTAACACCCAAAGTAGCCAAAAGGTTCACGTCTTTGATATAAAATTGGAATAAGGTTGTGTTATCAACTTTTTGACCACTTTGGGGGTCACGATTCACTATTTGACACTCACTGTACATTAGTGTACATATAAAACAATTATTATTATCAAATTAATGTTAGACGCTTATAGCACACAATACATTATAAATCATAAAGTCGGTAAGAGTGTTGTGACGTACTTAAACATAAGTTTCATAATATTTTGTTATATTTAAAGCAACTCTCTGTTTTATTTCGTGATGAACAAATCTAAACATAAAAATCCTGAAGCACTGAAGTTAGAGAATGATCCAACCCATGTACCTATTTAAAAAAATATCCGTCGGCAGTCGAGTAATTATAAAACGTTGAATCATTAGATAGTAAAATACAACTTAGCCGGTATTCACTTAGCTAATCTTAAAATAGCTCATTTGATCACGGAAGCTCATGCCCATTACTTTTACATCGAAAAAAGTATTTAATCTCAAACGGCTACAATAACTTCACCTAATTTGGATATATCTACGAATTCAAACGCTTACACCGATGGAATCTGAATTTATACCAGCGTTTAGATCTTTTACCGGATATGATTACTGTTAAAGACAAATCATTGCTTTTTATTACCGTCACATTTTGTCTTAAGGATGTTAGCACATCTATCAACCCGGAAAGGGATCGTAACCGAATCAACTCGAGGCGGTCAGTATTCTTTGTATGAAACTCTATACTGCAACGCATATTTTTTCGCACCGTAACATAAACGTCTCGCTTCGCGGTTGACAGCGCGCGAAAGGCGATGACAGCTCACTAAAAGCGATATAGTTCCAAAATACTGAACTGCCCTATCCATGACATTGACAGTGGGGCGCCACACCGTCAATACCAGCCCCCCTAGACAAAACGCACTTTTTGATCGAATCGAAATTCGAATCCGTCAAAACTCCATACAAAAAAAGGGGCTTTTCGACCACTTTTCGACTGGTTTGCGATCATAATTTGCACTTTGTCTAGACCCACAGATCGCTGCTTCCGATTTTTGCCATGTTGGAAACCATATAGTTGAACGATGGTAGCGCCCCCCTGTCATTGAGTTTGGTGGGACAGTTCAGCGTGGGTCATCTATACGGTATTGATCCCTTTCTAATTTGATAAGTCTGCTATGACCTTTATTTCTAGTAGCTAAGCTAACGGGCGTTTCCGTTGTTTCAATACGAATATTCAGTTGCTAATTAAATATTATTTATTCAGGGATATAATTGCTGCTACGTTAAAATACGAATTTGTATTTATTATTCCCAAACTGTTACCTAGAGGCACCAATATTGTTTATGTTTATGGTTTTGGAAACGTGTATTTTGTCTTCCAACGTTACCTTTTTGCTTTGCCGCCTTCTCTGTATTTGTATCCATTTGTAGCATTCTTTATAGTGTTGTAAAATAAATAAAATTCAAAGCAATGTGGTCGATATCGTGACCTTTCTTCGGGTCAAATTATGAGGACAGGTTGTTGTACGCATTTATATCGTATTTAGTAGCATAGTTGACCTCTCTAGAATGTGCTTTTATAAAATCATTTACGTGTAGCTTCTTTTCGAACTTTTTAAATTGCCTGTTTGTTATTCAAAATTTATCTTGTGTTCAGTATGTGTTTATTCAATTTAACAGAACACTTCACAGCCTAAATTAGCCTTGGAATTAGTTGAAACGGTTCCAACGGTGACATTCCGCTTTTTACAGGAAATGCGGGATGCTGAATTAGTAGTAGGTATATTAACGTCCACACAAACATCCCGTTTGCACAATAACGATTCGTTTGAATTTATAGTATGAATTTTATACAATTTTACAGATTTGACGTGTGTTCACAAATAGTTCAGTTTTGCGGGATCCTGCATTCCCAATAATCAGGAGCAGTTCTCTGAATTTACTACGCATTCTTGTATGGTGTCTTACAAAAATAGGTATCAAAACAAACCGTAGAATATCTTACATCGGACTACGTTGAACAATTTCAGACCACTTCGCCTGTACTAGTCTCAGAGGAATTTAAAGACAATTGCTGAAGCAAGGAACTGTCGTGGCCATTTATGCTTGAACTGCTCTATTTCAAGTCAGCCCCAGAAGACTATGCAAGCGTTGCGTTTCTATTCTTACTCTAGAATTGGTTAATACGATGTAATTGGTTATAGGGCTTTGTACTCATTATAGCATTGGTTAATGTAGATAATGTTTAAACAGGTAATGGTCAAAGCAAGAGCAAGTCCTGTAAAATAAGACTGTCATGTACACGTCAAATCCCATAAGTTGATTGATATTCGAACTACAAATTCGAACGGATCGTTTTTTGCGGGCCACTGCATACAAGATATTCGAGTCTTCCAGTGACATGGCCCACTTTTAGCTTGGTCCACGGGCCAAGTCGCTGGTTTAATTTTTTAAATAGCCCACCTTCAATGTTTTGTTAATAAATTAAACACCAAATCAACCAAAACTACTCTAGAATCATAAAGGTGGAGCCCAAGTCACTAGAAGAAAAACTATTTAGGCCCAGTCACTAGAAGAAAAACTATTTAGAAATACAATTCAGTGATTTGACCCGTGGACCAAGCTAAAAGTGAGTCAAGTCACTGGAAGACTCGGATATTCGTGTAAACGTTAATATTAAAACACGTAATCTAAGCGAGATCCTGCTAAAAACAGTTCCTGCAAAACGGGATATTTCTGTGAGAAAGAGCCCTTCGATGTTACGTAATTTTATAGATCTAAAAACGAATTTCTTTAGAAGGCAACTAAAATGGTCCCAATATATTTCTTTAAGACTAATGAAGTCAATTGATCTTACTCTCATTCCGTTTGGATTTCGAAGGTAATTGATGTCGCTCTATCATCCCTGTAAGACTTATGTTGGATTAATTATACTGACTATAAGTACCTATTCATACTGAGTATATTGGTGTATAGCAAATAGAGCAAAATAATTAAATGTTACTATTGCATATTTTCCTTTGGGAAATTGCAATGGAGACAAAATACCTGATGATGATGATGATGGTGCAAAAACTAAGTGCCCAGTTCATAAAACCTTTGATAATTTTAGTAATAAGGTAAATACCTACGCCACAATAATATATCCGTTGTGTCTTTTACATTAATTTCAAACCACCCAAACTACAGGAAAAATTAGAAAAATTATATGGAGTCTTATTTGGAAGTGGTCATAGATCACTTTAATATTTTTAATTCGAGCCTAATTACTTGATAAGGACGTAATGATTTCCATATCGCCCGCTTGGTAACGGCCTGTATCCAGCGCCTTTCTGCTACCTTTATGAGGTAGTCGGTCCAACTTATGGGTGGACGTTTCTATACATCAGAAAGAAGGAAATTAATATTGTTTCTTACCTCAATCTGTATGCTAGCCGCACGATACGCCCTGTCAGCTGTGTTCTGTGCTTGGCACGTAAAGGTCTGGTTGTGGTGCTCTTTCTTTGGCGTCATTTTGATGATGGACCTGTGCGAAATTTTGTATCATCAGTTTTGAAAATAATTTTTAGAGTTTGGTAAGCTCACACAGGCGATGTGTAAATGACTGACTGAAGTGACTATAAATATCGCCACTGAAGTCCTAGCTAGTAAGTTGTATTAAATCACTAGCTAGTAGCACGAGGTTATCCTCAAGAATGATATTTAAGCTATCAACAAGAGAACAACTACACAACATATATCTCACAAAGCTCTCAATAATTTTGGGCATTAACAAATACAATTTTATCATAATAACGTACCTTGCAGTAAACCTCTGACCATCCGACAAAGGCTCCACAGTATACGTCACGCCTTGCGTCAAAACACCAGCGTTGCTGTCCACCCACGTGATCTGAAAATACCACTTCATTATATTTTATTCTAATAAACTAATACAGCAATCACAATAAATATGACAACACAATCGCTATTAGAAAGCATTTGAAGAACTATAAATTGCATTAATGTTTTCGTAAATGATATAGGCAAAACTAATGACACAGTTATTATACGATAAATTATGCATCTGTTTAATATTCATTTGTTGGAGCATCTAACTCTGGTTTATTTATGGGAATGCTTTGAACTGGGGAAATTATTGTGATTATAATTAAATATGCATAGCATATATTTCTAAAGAATCATGTATAATATTTTGATCGTTTGTCGTTGTCATTTTAGTTCTTAATCTTTATCTTCTTATTAATGTTAAACGATGTTCGATATGTATAATATTATGTCACCGTTAAATTCTGAATTCCGTAAGATTTATAATCTGACGTAGTTAGATTACAATCGATTCTAACCTAACCCACTGTTAGTACACAATCTCAGGCGATACAACGTGCTCTTTTTGACTTTCTGGAACTCTAGGGTATTAATAAGACCACTTCAAAGAATGGAATGGCATTACATTTTTTGTTAAATTCAACAATTTTTTTTGACTTATTTTTTTATACGAAATTATTTAAAATTTTAGTTTTCGCTGAAATAATTCATAATTTACATACTTATAAATAAAAAGTCTGCACAAAAAGACTAGGTGACAATTTTGAAAAAAAAAAAACTATTGATGATAATCTAAATCAACTAAGTATCTTCTAAATCTAGAATCCACAATATCTTCAAAAATATGCTTTTAGAAACACATATTCCTAAGACTCTTTAACTAGTTTTTATTTATAGAATATACCCCTAAAATTTCCGGAAAACAAAAGGAGCACGTTGTATTATAAACTGACACAATATACAATTTCAACCTACTTTATTATTGATTTGAGCTGCGTTTAATTATGAATATTAAACCGGCATTTCCCATCAGAGCGATACAATCTCATTGTTACATCATTTTCAATTTGACTCCTAATTATATGAGTTCCTATGGGACGGCTCCTAATTCATTCCACTTGAATGGCTTTCATGAAATGAGCTTAGCTCTTCCCGTTTTTTGCAGGAACTGTTTTTTGTGGGATTCCGTTTAGTAGTACGTACGTGTTTAAATAATATTATCATTCACACTTTTGCAGTATCCTGCAAAAACCGACCTGTTCGAATTTTGAAATTCGCATTGGACATGCAATTTAAAAAGTTTTGAATTTGAATATAAATTTGGAATTCCAAACACACTTGTGTGTTCCCACGACAGTCCTGCTTTGCAGCTTGCGGGATCCTACATTACTGGATCCAGCAAAACTGGATGGCCCGTAATGAAGGTTCCAATATGAATGACAATGAATTAATAAGACCTGTGAAATCTAGGGTTTAAGGTAATTCTCTTCGCATCCCATAATCTCAAGCTTATGCATATTAGAACGTAGATTTAGCATTTACCGTAATTTGAAATATGAAATGCAAAATTGAAGAGGAGCGTTGGGGACAGAATTTCTGAGCTAAAAGATAATTTATGAATTTCCAGAATATTTTGTGATGTATTCTTTGATCTTTTGTCCTTCTATTTCTTTTTCTAGACGCTTTATCAACTCTGAATGATTTATATTAATTTAATTATATTATCCCACCAATCAGTGCATAATAGTTTTATTTAAAAACTCCTAAATAATTATAAAATTGCTAATAACTCATTGATCCTTAAGAGCTTAGTGAATTTTGAATTTACCTATCTCAGATTGTCCTATGAATTACAATGAAATGCTAAAGTTTTATAAAAGCGCTTGTAATTGATATTTCAATTGAGAAATCTTAATCAAAACTTTTACAAAACCCATTAATCCATTAATATTAAACAATTCTAAAATATAAATCCAAAAAGATGAAAGCCAAACAAAGTGGGGGCAAAAAGCAAAAATAATTCGCATTTTGAAGAATGCGACTTCCTAAGGGGAAAACAAAATTACCACAGTAAAATCACACCCTGAATCAGAATCACGAGGAGTTCGCGTCATTTTCATAGCTTCAAGCAATCTAAAAATTCCATACCTCTGCCGGGGGTTTCCCGCCCACGGAGATGCATTCCAATTTGATGCTTCTGTCTTCGATCGTAGAGTAGAAATTGCCTTCCAGAATTTTTGGCGGTTCGGGGGGTACCAACACGGTGAGGCGCGCGTATCGCGACCTAATCGCCGGTTCTCCTGTACAAAGGTTAATAAAGTCAGTTTATCTTTTTTCTTCCTTAAAAAGGGACGGCTATAAACTGTCAATGTTGAAATTTTCAAATATCCACAGAATACATAGTACCTACGTAAAAGGATGTGATGCAAAATTAGCAAAAGGCAAATAGGTATTACTAGCTAATCTTCAACCTGTAACAAGAATAATTTATGTCACACATCTCCTCCTTTTAAAACCGGGATAAAAACTATCCTGGGTCTCAAACTATATCTGTTCCTTTAATCTAAATTATGCGTGCAAAGATAACATTAGACAGATAGTTAGATACCTTTACATTTGCAATACTGCCCGTTTTCACCAGCAATCCCTAATTTTTAAGTGAACCCTTTGAAAACAAAATTCCTGTTAATTTTACTATAAGGGGTCACATATTAGGGATTGATGGTGAAAACGGGCATAACCCATTTAAATTCTATAGTACGCATTTCTCTTTCTATTAGCTAATGAGAAAAAGAGAAGTGTAGTTTAGTTAGGTCTAAGAAAACCACCACTATGGTGGTACAGACAGCAGCAACGTAAATTAAATTGTCCCTTTTCTGTCAAACACCGTTTTGTGGACGTGTTTTCAATGGCGTTTGGACATTTTAATCTTGCTAGTGGGTTTTCATATTCAGTGAATTATTGTGGAAATAATTATTGGTGTTAGAAATTGACTTCGATGATGAATTATGTGACGTAATTATGGCGAACAATGATTATTAATTTTCACTTGACAGAGCACTCATCAACATAATCATTGTTGCAGAATAGTAATAATTATAATACAAACTGTATGAGATCCTTATTGTAAAATTGATCTGGTGTATGTTAATAGATTCGTTAAACTAAAGAAATAAATTAAATTATTGTGAATTTTGTGGCAATTTATTTCTCTCTCTAATTTGATAATTTTCCTTTTCGTGAAATTATTACTACATTACAAACTGGCCTTGGTAATAAAAACGAGTCCTTGATCTATAAGATCATAAAATAGAATCGTAAAAAGTTTATTTCTTATTACTGTGGAAAATTCAGACTGGGACCTCCATTTCATTTCTGGCAAATGCTAATTTATACTAATCTACAAAACTCGGAAGCTACTCTGTTTGTTATTGCTGATGAAATGATTAAAAAAGTGCCTAATGAAATTATATTTCAGGATAAAAATTTAGGTGCCTACTTTATCTTGATATCTATCGAAAAAACATTTTGCTATTTAGATGACGTGATCACATTTTCACAGAGAGTTGATAAACATTAGTGAGAGATTTCTGAAAAATGTTAATGACGTGAACTATTTCATATTTTATCAAACCAAAACTTTTAACTTATAAATATAATAATTATCCCTAAAACTTGACCTACTATACAAAAAAGTAAGTCACAAGGCTTCAAAGGTAACCTAGTTTTTACGTTAACTTTCAAAGTTCATTCACTGCTTTTAGTAAGCCATCAGATAAAAACTACAATGGCGTTATAAACAGCTGGTTCATAATAATAATCGTACTATACCAAAAATAAAGCGAACGAAATAAAACCTTGGTATTATTTTTGAAATTCATACTTAGATTTTGACGAGTGAAATCATGTACGAGTACCATTTGATTCTTTTATAAGAGCTTTCATAGCATTTAACTTGCATGTATGGATGGATGTATGATATAATTATGTGTGTTTAGGTCAAATTTTCAGTATCACTTTTAACCAATTCCTGTAGAATGATAGGCTCTTTTGTAATCATGCACACACCTAGTGTCAATGCAATATTATAAAATATTGAGATGGGCCTGATGGTGTTATCAGGGCCAAATTAGGCCATTCAACTCCTCAATAACTTACAGAAACCATAAAATTAATATCGTGCTTTGGCTCGTTAGTTTGGTCTTGATTAGAACGCTTCTTACATTGAGGACTAAATGCTTGCTTAGAAGAATGACTTATCACTATATTCATGTATTATTTTGGGGATATATTGAGCCATCAATTCATAGTTTTTACTATACCTAGTTGTGTTATATCAACAACTGTGTGTGGACTTGTAGAACTATTGCGTGATTGTAAGTGCGTGTGAATTTCAGTTTGTTCTCAGTCAACATTAGGTCGCTGTAATGCTGTAGTGTTGGGTTATGAACTTTTAGTTTGGTTATATCGATAGAAAAGAGATTAGTTTATTTTATTTAAATAAAAAAAAATGGTATTTGATTGGATAGTACAATTAATAATTGTACTATAGGGTTTGATGTAATGTGTTCAAAAATTAATTGACGGAGATGACTATGCTAATTTAAATTAAATTAAATCTTTATTTTATTGAATTACTCTAAAGATAGTATGATACCTATGATGTGTGTCTCAGTATACGAGGTTTTCACATTTTGGTTCCATGTAACAAACAATTTATGGTTTGATGAACATAATGTTAATTTCTATAACTTTTTACCCATCTTGATATAATATTAATTAAAATCATTTTAATATAAAATAAAACTCGATACTTGAGGTTTTGTATTCATCGATATGAAGCCTGTCTACAACACTAGATCTTAATTTATTTGAGGGCTTTTACGTCACTTTATAGGAAACAGCGCAGTAAACACAATATTTTTGTTGATAGTCACTTATTCATATTATTATAACAAGGTAAATCAATTAACTTATGGATTTCCAAGTAGAAAGCTTACGTGACAAGGAGTTACAGTCAAGAATAACCAATTTTCCGATCAGATGTTAGTTAGTTCATTTCAACCAAAGGATCTACAAGGTGGACCGAAGACCTCATAAAGGTAGCAGGAAGGCGCTGGATGCAGGCCGCTACCAACCGATCATTATGGATATTATCGGGGGAGGCCTATGTTCAGCAGTGGACGTCCTATAGCTGACATGATGATGATGATGTTGAAAGGACTTCCACTGTTGGACTGGTTCTGTGTTTTTCGGGACCTTTGTTAGATCGCGTCGGTCCATTGATGGGAGGCCTTGTCTATACCACCGTAGAGATATTAAAGAAACTGAATTTACAAGATGAAAATAGTCAATCCCACCTAAGTAGGATGACTATTATCAATTATTGGCCACAAATCGATTCGTCATTTTTTTGCAAGAAATTAAAATATTAATGTAAATAAATTAATTCGTCAAAATCCTAATACAATACATAATGTATTGCAACGAAGACGTCTTAATATGATTTCTCTACTTGATCCTCCAGCAATGCTTTCAAATTCTAACTACCTACCTAGGCAATAGATAAAGCGTAGCCATTCCTTACACACCCTGTATATGCAATAGCCTGTATTGCCGATTGCTCCAAACGTCTAGACATTAATTGGAACACAAACGCCACTCATGTGTTCTGACGTCATTGTGCCGGATCACTTTGAAGCCGGCAGGGATGTTACTGATTCTGATGAACGTAGGCCTGGGGTAGGTTACGGATATTCGGTAAAATATCCGAAAAGTGTACAAAAAAAAAACTTATAATTGCGATATTAATACTGCTACATTTGCATGCAATTATTGAACTGGTTTAGATGAAACGGATAGAGATAGATTTAAACCCAGGGAATAACAGGATTTATTTTATCCTAGTTTTGAAAGGGATAACGAGTGTAGCCTGTGTGAGCGAAATTAAAAGTATTTTTAAATAAAGACTAATAATGAATATAACATTGAATGAGCCGAGATTCGTGCAAAATGACATTATAAGATAACTAAACTAAGTTGATTATTCTGTGTTTACAAATTTAATTATGTAATACATAATACTATTATGTCTTAGTAGATCACAATAACATTTTAATCTGGAGATAATTTGAACCTAGGAGTGTGAAAAATAGTTTACGTTCTATTCTTAGACCTACCATTTTGTTACAACACTGACACGATAGATTTATGTATGATTAGATAATAAATAATATGAGTAATACACCCACTTATACGTTTACGTTTACGCACAACTACGTTATACGTTTCCGTATCAATCTATTCCAATATCCGTATACCATTAGTTCCCATAACTAGGAATAGGGTTCGAATATCCGCACTTTTGTTGTATGTTTTTGCTTTTGTTCCGCACAGTATTGCAGACAGAGTATTGGTAACGTTTTTACCATTCCCACTCGGTTTGCCGCTGGTATTTATCTTTGTAAATGGAACCAACAAATAAATAAAAGTTTTTCCCGTTACCGTTTCAAAACGTGCACGTGCAAATCATTTTTTTATTCGTTCTATTCAATTTCGAACTTTATGAAATTTTTTGGGTTATTACGTCATTAGGCTTTAATTTTGTGTGGCTTCTAAAACTAGTATTATTGTGGCATTTGCTCTGCCAGAAACTTTTTTATGTAAGTAACAATTTTTTATTTATTTTAGTCTACCGAAAATACTCATCTAGTTCAGAATTATTGGATTCCAAATCTATATTATCCATTCTAAGAAAATTCAAAACCTTCAAATTTGACATGGCATGTAATCTTTAAGTAAACCCTTTTGAAATTCCATTAATTGGTAGCATTTTGAAGGATCTGGAACTGGAACAATTAAAATCCAAATAACATTTCCAATAAACAAGCAACAATTCAAAAGATTAAGAACAATTAATTGAACATTGTGCTAGTGAGATATTAATGATAGATCGCCCGGTGCTTTGTCCTGCTGGAAGGCTCTTCTGGAAGGACTGGTCTTTTGTTCTAAACGTCCTGCCAGAAGATTATCGCAAGTCCTGCCCGCAGTACGCAATTTGTACGTGTTTGCTTGCTGGTCCTTCCAGCAGTACGGTGACCTTCAAATTTGAACTCATCCTCACCAGAAGTAGTAAACACTTGGTTAGTGTTTATTAAATAAAAAGTCATGTCGTAGAATCATTTTGTTTAACCAGTATTTTACTTTTCTTAATATATTATAAACTTGTTTATCTTCTTTCAACTTAACTAATAGGAACTATAATAAGGAACTTTAAATTAATTACTTTGGTACGTCACTT